TTTGTTTGTATTGTTCCAAACTTTAGCCTGTTGACGAGTTGCATACTACAAGACGTTGTGTTATCCATAAGTCTACAAATTGAACCTGCTCGGCGAGGCCTGATATAATGTATCTCAGTTGTCAAGCCACAAGTTTCATTGTAATGTGATGATTAGTACTTGAGATATCAGTAGGAAAATCCAAAAATTAACTTATTATGCATATTAGTTTTGGGTAAATCTCTGTGCTTACTAATTACCTAATCAGAGCTTCTATGCACCAAGTTTCATCAAAATGCAATTGGTGGTTCTTTAGATACATGTATGAGTGGAACAGTCATGGAATAGCTAATTATCATGCAAAATAATATAATCAATTTAAACCAAAACCTAATCAAATCTACGCATTAGCTCCAAGTATCTAATTTTATCAGAAACCAGCCTATGGTTCTTGAGATATCAGTGGAACAGACAGACTCCCACACTGGAGTCGAAAATGTAAGGATTTACAGTATATTCAGTCAACCAGCAACTTTGGCTGCATAATAGAGAATGTTGTCCTTACTTTATCATTTTGCAATAACCAGTGAACCTACATGTAGAACACAACGGAGCGAGCCTTGAGAGCCAATGAGCATGCACTTTTTTCAATGGAGTTAGTCACCTAGACGAGTACAGTATGCTTTCCACCCCTTCCCCCAAAGTTTACTGACAGTGTATCTTCTGCCATTAAAGAATATTTATTTACAAATTAAGAAACACTTTTAAACAGTGGTTTTAATGTACCTCCTGAGAAATTCAGAACAGTACATGACTTTAAAACAAACAATAAATCTTGATGGATGATCATTACAATTCTCAATACTTATTTCATCATGATTGCTAACTGTATTGCAAATAACTGAAGTTCTTTTGAAAGATAGAGGTTATAGATCTAGTTCAATATTAAAGTAAATGCTTTTGTTCACTTTCAGAAACATGGAAGATTTTGTGACCTGGACAGACACATCTAAGATTAGAAGACATCTACTGGAATATAATGACGAGGTAAGACCTGTTTGATTTTTATTGTGTAAAATATGTTTTGATTTTGACCAAGTGATATGCTAGATTAGAGTATTGTTGTAGTTAAACAATGCAATCATTTCCACTTGAACTGCAATTCTAAATGATATTTGTCTTTTTTATTTCAGAGAGATGATTTTGATTTGATGTCTTAGAAGCATAACATACATTACATGATAATTGAAGTGGTTTTACATCAACTGTAATTTATTTAACAATTTTCAGAATAAAACACAATTCTTTGGAGATGTACATGTATTCTCAGTAGTTCAAACAAGAACCAGCAGTAGACGGCCAAATAAAAAAAAAAAAAGCATATTGGGGATGTAATGTTTCATACATTACTATCCAAATTTTAACACTTAAATCTTGTGCTACAGACATACAGTACATACTTTTATAGTATATTCAAACAAATGAAATTGTGGTCTGAAAACTACTTAAAGTCTGTTATTCTAGGTTTGACCTAAAATTTATGCATAATATCACCATGGAGATAAAATTGCAACAATTTGAATTTCCCCAACTGAATATGCAAAATTTATATTTTTTCATACAGCTTTTTCTGTACATGGCAGTAAACACTATATATTCTGTACATGGCTATGTAAGTGTTAAACTGAATTAATATTAACAGGTTTTTCATGTGACAATAAGCTATTTTTGTAAACAGACCTTAATAGTAAAACCAATCTTCAAATGAAACTACTACTGCTGGCACCATACCCTTTACTGGTGGTTGATGGCTTCTGATTTGTACTTCTTTTCAGTCTCTGTTGCCTTTGTTTTTTTACAGCTTCCATTTCTCTCTTGGCATTCAATACCATGCGACTGAAATGAATTGAGTCTTGTTAAAACAGTAATTGCATATTGCATAACTCCTGTGATTTATCAAGTTTTAATAAATATATAGTTTGAATCGCATTCGTCAATACGAAATAGCCACCAGTCGACCATTTTGTGTGTGATCTGAAAACAAAATGGTGTGCATTAGTCCCATAATGTTTAACAATTGTACGAAGATTGAACGAAATTCATTCATACATGACTGAGATCTGGTTCTGAAATAGCCGAAATGCTGAATGTGTTCCTATATTTTAATAAATCGCTAAATATGCAAACTAAGCAGAATAATACAAATACAAGGACACTCCCAATTAAAGATTTTTCTGGTCCAGGAATGTTTTTTGATATATGAATGACTTTTTCCTTGTATTAGCATGATACAGAAACATGCCAGAGTCCCTGTTGGTTCAATAGTTCAACAAGCCATTGAAAATGTCACAGCCCCTTCTGTTCTTGAACATTAATATATTGTTTTTGATCAAGTGCATGTACCAGTTCCACACTGAACTAATAATTTGGACTACCAGACGATTTAATGTCTATGCTCTCATAATGTAAATCCTATATCGCAATTCCTGATTATAGTGCACTTTGGAATAGTTATGTCAGATTGCAAGAGCAGAGGGTCTTCATGACTGGCAGTGATGTGTTTGTTTCTGTCAAAACTATCCCACAATACACTGAATTCATTTTCATGGCTGACGAGTCAACCATCTTGGATTGTAACACAAATCAAATTTTGTCTGTGAACCAGGTTTGACAGCGTGAATTTGAAATATAAGTCAAAATGTATGAAAATGGACAAAAATTTCCAATTTACGTAAAACAAAATGCCATATTGCATAGAATCTCAATTTGCATCTTCATGAAATCTGAATAAACTTTAGGCAAGATATGTTTACAAAGGAAATCGGTCCATGAATTTCTGAGATAATTAGAAGGATGATTTACTGCTAATGAAGAGAAACTTTCAGTGATTAACAGAAAATTCATAGACATGTAATTGGTGGTTCAAACAATAACATCATAAATCGCGTGCTAGAGCAGGTCAGAAAAAGCCTTGGGCCAGACATTTTCCTGAGCAGCAACACCATGGATTCAAATGATTTCCAAATCAATGAGCTGTGTAGTTAGTTGTATGATTAATCTACTTATGGGCTAAGTAGGTGATTAGGGGTTGCATGCAGCACTATGATAAGTACATGAATCAGTTGCGATTAATGTGGGTCACTGCCTGTTATTCTCTTTCTATATGAAAGGTGTTTTGTGACAACACACAACCAGTGATGGGGTTGCAGAAAAAAAAGCACCTAAAACTCGCCAACTTCAGTGTTGCTACGTTAAAATAAGGCAACTTAGAAGATGACCACAGCAATCTATTTAACGTTGAGTCTCAAGTAGATGTCTCTGCAACCTATCAGAAAACTTACTTCAGTGATGTAAGTTCTTGTATCAATCCTTGGGCCATTTTCGTACCTTTATCTTCATCTGGAAGAGAGAATTTGGTTGGCATAGAAACATAAAGAGGCTCTCTGGTCTTTCTGACTGATCCTTGCTCCGTGTTTGTTGTCTCACTAAAAGTTAATAGATAGATTAAATGTGATTTTATATATATATAGTGACCAAATGGTTGATAATGCAAAAATGTTTTTGGTTGTCAAGTACATTGTACGTCCACTAAAAATAAACAGTATGAGTGGATTTTTTTAAATTGGATTTTAAAAATTTACAGGACCACTCATTTGGGGGCACCTGGCCAATCTCTTATAGCTTGCTGCCAATGATGCAAAGTACTATCTTGCCATTTTTTGGAGATGGTTCCTGTTACAGCAAATCTTAAAAAGTTGAAAAATGGTTTATGAATTGGCTGGTAGTTTGGGCTAGACTTGACTGAACTTGACAGTGTCACGTAAAGGGTAATTTTAACAATCTTGAACATAAAACATAGCTACTATCGATCTCATTATAAATTTGAAGAATATATATAGACAAGGTTGTAGTAAACAAATTAAATTTGACAATTCAAAAGCATTGTCTGTCTCATACTGCAATACACAAAATAATGTAGATTAATCGGCTGGGAATGGGCATGACCACTAGAAGGTGCCAGCAAGCTTGAAAAGCTAGCTGTTCATTTGTAGCATGTCAAACTGTCAGCCAACTCGCAAGTAAGTTTGCCAACTCGCCGGAATACTTCTGAGACATGATGTGATATGTTCAAACAAAATGGCCACAAGCAGGTTTTGAAATATACTTTACATGTTGTTTTTCAGTTCATGCATGTAGACATGAAACCTTGTATTAGGAAATTTAAGCAAATATAATTACTAAATATGAATGGATTTTGATTCTGAGAAAGAGTAATTATGTGTCCACTGCTGAAATGCCTGTCCCTAATCCAGAAGTTACTGTTGACAATGATACAGCAAAGTAACGATAGTGTAATTTCCCTGTAGTTTGTGTTTTTGTCGCTTATCACAGATCTCATAAAGGACCATATGGAACCAGAAGCACACAAACTATAGGCTTGCAAGGCTGATGTTAATTAAAACATTTTCTAAATAATATGTATTCGATGCAAGCTACACTAACCATGGGGCAGATAATTCCCAAAACTAACTTGCATACTGTGCATGATGGTAAAAATCAGTACCAAACCGAGGTATGTACGACCTAGAAAAAGTGCCAAATCTGTTTGGTACAAAGACAAAATATATAATAGGTGACGTATGCAGAACACACTTTTGAATTTGATGAACTACTGATTTGGCAGGTATGTACGACCTAGAAAAAGTGCCATATGCGAGTACCAAGTTGCGAGTCGCAAATAGCAAAATATGCCATATGCTAGTGGTGAAATGTATCATTTGCTGGTAGCAAAAAAAGCCCTATGCGAGGTGTAATACAAAGGCCAGGAAAACTGGTGTATGCGAGGGGTGGAGTCATTTGCCAGTTTGCTCAACGGCTGGATATAATAACGTACGTTCAAATGTGTTTATCACATTAAAATTAAATATTTACCATGGTTATGAAATGATACTGTTGAGGCTTTCACTTTAGGGGTGATTCAAATATAAAAATAATGGTAGCAAATAGGTGTCAACTGGCGCACGCAGCCCGGTACTCAACATTACAGTCGACCAGTGTACGCGGATTACATTGCGAAGATCACAAATAAAAGCAGCTTTAACTTCTATTTCCAGTGCTTTTTGTTTATTGTTCATTTAAGTGTTGATATCAAAAAGTTCGTTCAGTCGTTTGCATAGAATCGA